TACATTTCAAATCAAGTTCCACAAGATAGCAATTATCCATGTACCTAGTACCAGTGAGAACATGTTTGTTTTCTTGATCAGACACATGACACTGAGTTTTAGTAAAGTTCACATACAAACCCTGATCACATAATTGACTGATACTCAAAAGATTTGCTTTTAGGTTTTGAACCAAAATAACATTTTTAAGTTTGGGCAGACCAGGAACATTCAAGCACCCAACTCCAAGAACTTTATTTTTTGCCCCATCACCAAAAGTGACAGAACTGGAAGAGACAGGCATAATATTGGTCAAGTTAGATCTCAGACCTGTCATATGACGAGAACAACCACTATCAAAATACCAATCAGAGTTGGATGTGGATTTCAAAGCAAGTATGGAAGATAGACATAGATTCTTACGATCCTTAGGAACCCAGATCTTTTTCTGTTCATGGTTCACTAAGTCAACTTTCAACTTGGGAGCTTTCACAGGAACACCATGAGGACTCCAATCATTAATTCGACCCGTATAAATATCATTATGCATTCTATAGCATTTGGGACGAATATGACCGCGAATCCCATAGTAATGACAAACAGGTACAAAGTTCTTACCAGTATTCTTGTGTTGAACCTTTGGAGAGTGTGACTTACCTTTCGTGGAGTCAAATAAGTATCATTCTTTAACAAAAGTTAGATCGGCCTTACTCAGTGAAGAGCTTGATTCTCCCACCTTCTCTTTCAGTTTCTGGTTCTGGACAGTCTTACTTGGGTTGGATGAACCGATCTGCTGACTCAGTTTTTGAACTTCAGCATATGACGCCCTTGGCTTGTTGATCATTCGAACAACTTCTTCACTCTTTTGCAATCTTTCTTCAAGGGTAGAACAGTGACTCCGAAGTGCCACATGTTCCTCCATTACCCGACCGAGTTCCTCCTTAAGGACCACTATTTCAGTTTCTCTTTCTCCATCAAGACTTTTGAACAGCAAACAGTTCATTGCGTAGAGATTCAATGGTAAGACTCTGTTCTTCACTGGCCTGTTTGTTGAGTTTGTCGCCATGCTCAACCAGTGCTAGCTTTGCGAAGCAACTGTTTAGTTCCTTGTCTTGTTTTCCAATGAGAAGGTCTGATCTGATGAGCTTCTCGTTCAAGTCTACAGTCATTACCCTCATCTTCTGAAGTTCGTTCCGAAGATACTCAATCTCTTTTTCACGTTCGGTATAACGTAGTTCTACCGCCTTCATCTTTTGTTTCTGAGCCTGGTATTTGTTGATGATATCCCTTGCCTTGAGACACTTTTCAATGGCGTACTTGTGAAGTACAAGATTTTCGGCAGCAGGGTCTGAGAATTCATCAGAGTCTACCTCACTCAAATTTTTTGCGTAAGAACCTGCATCCGATTCAACATCAGTTAGATGAACAGAGGAAGTAAAACAATTATACTCATTAAGAAGGCATTTAGCAGAATTATTAGAGTAGTTAAAGTTCTCAGTCATCTCAGGTTCATCCTTCTCGTCATCACTGGAGTCGGACCATGTAGCCTTGAATGTCTTATTCTTCTTCTTGAAATTTGAACACTCCTTTTTGAAAGTGGCCAAATCCTTTGCATTCGCGGCATTGGTCTTTTTCTACTCCTTGATTAGCATTCAGAGGCTTGTTAGATTGCATGCCAGACCTCCTTTCTCCAAACTGCTGAATTTGGTTCCTGCCACCTTCAAAGGACCTGTTGCCCTGAAATCTCCTTTTCTGGAATTTCTTCAACTTCGAAATATTTTTGGTAAGCACGGTAAGAGCCTTTGTGATTTCGTCAGGATCAAACGATTCTTCATCGGATTCATCATTCTCAGCGACTGTAGTACGAACCTTGGCCTTTAACGCAAGCCCTTTCCCTTTGCTTATCCTCATAGAGTCAAAGCCATGGTTGATTTCAAAGGTGCGAAGTTCACTTAGAAGATCATCGATGCCAAGCTTCTGGATCCTCTGAAAACTTTCTAGTGCAGTAATTTTAATCCCAAATCTGTCCGGTAGAGTTCTCATCAGTTTCTGCACTTGTCTAGCTTCTGGAACCGGCTCACCAAGCATTGCACTTTGGTTAACCAGGTCGCAGAACCGAGCATAATACATATCAATGGTTTCATCCTCCCTCATACGGATCTCATCGAGTTCAGTTGAGACTCTTTAGAGCTTTGATGTTTTAACCGCATTCGTGCCATCAAATTGTCTCTCCAAGATCCTCCAGGCTTCTTGAGCAGTCGTGCACTGGATTATTATCTTGTGCCGGGTGGGATCTACAGCAGACATGATGGCATATAAAGCTCAAAATTTAGCTCTTCTGCTTGCCTTTCGTCGTCGGTCCAAATGCTCCTTGGTTTCTCAACCAGTACTTTGGTAGTTGATGACTTCCCGTCCGATGACTCACCACCCTTAGTCTCAGCAGGAACTTTTTCTTGAAGTGGTAAAGTCCAACCATTCTCAACAGCCTGCCATGTTCCTTTACCAAGGGATCGAAGGAAGATCACCATCATGGACTTCCAGTATGAGTAGTTAGAACCACCAAGAAACGGAGGGCGCGTAACAGACATCCCATCATGACTCATGGTGCCCGATACACAGTCCCAAGGATCTTTATCCCGTAGTTAGAACAGGAACACTGCTCTGGTGCCAATTGAAACGTATAATTAACACGGAGTGCGCTTATTGGTGGTACGAACTGAAATGAGATCTGAATAATGCGGAAGCAATAAACCGAAGGTTTTAAAACTCTTCAGGGAAGCGTCCCACTTCCCCTCAGAGCTCTTTCATTGATAGATCAAACATACACATAGCTTGGACTTACAACGACTCGAACTCCCTTCAAGCCTAGCCAACACTACACAGATTCTATCAACTAATTCTCCGGCTACGTCCCGTGGACTTTAATAATCTACACTTACTCCCTAAGTGTATAAGCTGTAAAGTAGTTTTGGATGAAACACAAAGAACTAAATAAAAAACAGCTTCAGTCCTTGAGTTAGTAGGAACTCACAGACTGAACTGTGTACAACTCAACTTAAACAGAAAATACGAAGCTCAAATATTGCTCTAAAGATCTTCAAAACTCAGCAGCCGCAATGAAAGCTTGCATAAGGGTATTTTTTTTTTTTTTTTTTAAATCTCCTTAGGGTTGGAGTCTTCTACAAGACATGGGACTCCAATATGATTTCCTTCCTTGATTATAGCATAAGAGTTTTGGTAAGTGAATCTTCTTCTCTCTCTCCTTGATCTCCTTAGCATGCACGCCTCCTCTTTCTATATCTCCATCATGCCCGATTTCCTACAAAATAGAATACCATAATAAGATCCGCAATTATCTTATATATGGAATGTAAAAGTAACTTAATTAAGGAAATAGTATATTTGAAGGTCTTCCCTATTTCTGTGGTTCCAGGTGCTTGTTCGAACCATAGAACTAATGCCAAAATAAAATATATCTTTCAAAAATTATTTCATTATTCATTAAAAAAAAAAAAAAAAAAAAAAAA